GGTACTTGGACACAGAGGAGTTCAGAGATACTAACCCGATTTCATTGCTCCTGAAAATGTTTCTATCAATGTGACAGGTGGCGTCTCTTCCTGTGTGCGCAAGTGTGAAAATGTGCGCGGTGCACCAGTCACACAGTGTCGTAACTCCTGCGTACTTTGTATAGAAATGAAGTTACGCCGTGCGCAGGTACGAGGAAAGCAGAGGACAAGTTTGTAGCACAAACATAATCGTACTAACACCGCTTGTGTGGAAGCAACGGGGACTAAACCTGTGAACAGCCAAAGATGAGTGAGAAGCGGCATTTCTTTTTGAGTCGTCCATCACTCAGAACCCCACCTCGAAGTCCTTCATGGGAAACCTTTTCTAGGAAATAATGTCGGGAAAACGGGGCAAGCTACTTAGATCAACTATCTCTTGAACTCGAGGGGCACATATATAGTGGTGAACTAAGTGCAGTATAAATCAGTACATTGGTCGGTGGTTGTACCTTCACTACCACAGTAACATTTTGACCGACACGTCCCCAATGATTTGCTCGGACTCATCACAGATTTTGACCAGATCAAGCCAGCAGGTAACATTTTGTGCCCGTTGGGTGTACAATTGTCAATCACTTACTTTCCGTGGCACTAGACGTTTGTCTGCAGTTGTCAGTTGATTGAGGTCAAATTTTCCGATTGCCAGTGACGATAGACTTACCGAGAGCAGTAGTTGTTGCTGTGCACAGAGATTAGCTGACTCCGATTCAGATAACTCAGTGGACATGTTACGGCCAGTCTACTGAGCTCTGTGTTGGTCAACCTTTCCTGTATATTGCTTCAAAGAACTGCTTTAAAACATTCTAAAACCATCTGACAAACGCCACGCATATGACATCAGCAGGTTCGCTTCGTCGAGGGCGCACTTCGAACGCTTGATACCGCTCTTTAGAGCGAATGTTCTCCTCCATGTCTGAACCTTATCATCAGTCACTAGCATACTGGGTTCAGCAGACGGTTAGGATACTGCAAAATAATGAGGTCCCTTCAGTACCTGCACTTGCTAGTTTCACACAGGTGGGACACATAGGTGGACTGGTAAAAGCCGTCCGTTGATAACAGACGTCCTTGATGGCAGGTGTTAAAGCAGTAGTAAACGTGCCGCATACCGATAATAGTCATATTCCTTTAAATTCCATAGTGAATTCAACTAGCTGATCTATCCACTCAGTTCTGGACGCCTGTGCGAAAATGTGTTCCCTCAAAATGTGAACATTTTGCATGCGTTAAACTCGCACAATACAGTCCGCATCAGGGTCTACGGTGACTTGTCGGATATCTTCCCGACAACAAGTGGCTATCGTCAGGATTGTCCGAAGTCTCCATCCTTGTTCGACTTCGCCGTGGACTCCACAATGGAGCGTTCCCTCGTGGAATCTCACGATCCAGGTGGCAAGGCTTTGCCTGGTGAAAAGCTAGCTGATCTTGATTATGCGGAGGATTTTTCTTGATTTTGCAACTATGTTAGGGCGTTCCAGTCAACCCTATGGTTACATCATTTGTCACGCGCTTCGCCAAGTGTTATTGCAGGACCACCTGTGACTTGATGATCCCTTTGGTTTGTTAACGAGGAACTAGAGATAATAGATCAGTTCCCTTTCCTTGGCATCGATGTCATCGTAGTTGTACGACAGTGAAGCATCAGTTCAAATGGTTGTCTGTTGTATATGTTATAGTTTTCCCGACGCAGGAACTGTAATATATCTGAGTAGTCTATTGCAACCGATGATAAGGTGAACAACTGTGTCCAAAAATAACTCTTTTAACTTCTCACTAAAGGTGTCAAATCTTTCCATTGAGTCAGTTTCGACATTAGTTCATTTTTCCCATACATGCCAAAATGTGACGTATTGGGAATAGTGAGGCGCTGTTTAAATGAGGACAATATCCTTACCGATGGGGGACAACACTAGGACTTAGCGGGTTTTATGTCACGTTCTAATCGGGCTTCTCTACTCAGGAACTAGGTCTTGCGAAGGGATCATCATGTCCCCAACACAATGAAGATTCCGAACGGACAGTGTTAACCAACTGTAATAGCGTTCGAAAAATTTGGGGACCGTACGTAGAGCGCACATTTGTGATCACCAAAGGAGATAACAAAGATGAGTCTCTAGATCACTTGACTTCTCTTAATGAGGCTATAAACTATACGATAGAATTGGAAGCTTGCCATCGTACACTGCCATTCCTAGATTACTCACTTCCTATGAATGGTAGTCGTCAAATAACAAGGATAATTAGTAAACCGACGGACACAGGTGGGTACCCCAGCACAGATCAGTTCGTCTGATGCATGTGTATGTTAGAATAGCCTCATCTCTATTCCACAGAGCCCAACCCTGTGCACTGAGGAAGGGGACACATTGATGGCTTGGATGCAAGTAATGAACTAGTTGAGAGATAGGGTTACCTGCAACGATTGGTGAAACACCATTTACAGTATAGCTCCTAAACTCACATCCACGGCATACCACAGAGTGGATTGGGGTGGTGGGATTCTTTATAAAGAGGGAATTTAAGAGGCTGTCCGGAGAGCTGTGAACAAAGAAAAGATAAGAGGGACTTTCCGGTAGTGCCAAAACGTTCCGTTCGACGTTAGTGCATTTGAACTACTCACTCCCCGCGTATAAGATGACCAACTGCGCCGATAAAATCAGCTGCAAGGACTGTGCATACGTGTCCATAGGCCAAACCACTAGAGAGCTACGCACTAGATCAGCATAACACAACAGGCGCCTGCCACGACCACCGAGGAACGAACTTGAATATAGGGCTCTAAAAAGACATTCGGCGGCAGCAATACACGCGTTTGAAATCGGCCTGAATAATGTCTAGCTCATTAGAAGGGGTTTGAGATTGACACCCGAAAGGTTAACTGCTGAGGTGTTGGAAATAGCCAAAGCTAACAGCTGCATAAACAGAATGGATGTGGTGGCGTTATCGAATTTGTGGCGGTCTGTCTTGGCCAGTATGAGTAGTGTCGGCGGACGGATCTGAGTCAGAGAACGAACCACAAACTACCCCTTACTCTCATCACTGGTACGGACTTATGATTGACAACCTTGTACAGTTGAGATGTTTCTCTCCCCAGTGTGCCACTTGAAAGGACACGCCAACCAGTAACGTAATTACCCACCTACTTAATGCTCGGTCATCGCGATTATCGTTCCAATTTGCTATAAATGCTATGTCAATCGCTTGTTGGTTCACTTAGTTTGACGAAACTTTTGAGTCATGGATTCTTCAGCTTTTCGGTGGTGATTACTTGGTAAAGGTCCTTTTGCATCGTATTTTGCATGGTAATTTTATATAGGGAGTGGACGGGGATACCAGCACGCTCCCCGCGGGCAGCCCAACTCCCGGCGCATATAGGATTTGTGAGGACTCCACCCCACCCCGGAGTATGCAAGCCCGTGAGCTCGACTAACCTAGTGGTACTTTACCTGAAGTATGGGGTAGCCGGAGTCATGGATGGTGCGATCAGCTGTTCGAGCTAGACTCAGCCCAGTTGGCATGATTTCAACAGTACTCACAGGAGTGGACAATATAAGAAAGTCCACGATTTCCATGGGAAGATGGCCAGTGGGCGGCCATAATATGTGAAACTTTGAGGTGTAACTCCCAGTTTGAGAAACACCACCGTTTGTTGTCAGTATGCAGCGCTATCTTGTGGCGATTACAGACAATTGGGTGCACCATCTCTGAGAACGAGTAAGCACAACCTAGGTACGTAGTGTAGTGTGGGCGAAATCACCAACTTTGTTGCGAGTTGATCAAAGAATTTTGCAGGGCATGAACTAAGCGGTTTTTCTGAATGGGCAGCTGTGTTTCTAACTACGCTGTAAAGTTATGGATGCGCGGACGGCATATCAGTGGAGTGACTTGTAGTTGTTATGATTCCACCAACAAGGTATGAGTTAGAATTTTCTGACCATGTCATCCGGACGTACTACAGTTGTGTGTAAAGTTAACGCTCGTAGGAACTTAACTGGTCTGATCATGTCGGGGGTTGGGACCGTGTCGGGGATCACAGAGCGCAGGTACGAACTGTGCAAGTGAACGGAAAGTGCTGTATCCGGACATGAAAACGATGACCGTCTGAAGACGATGTTGATATCGACTGCTGGAAAGGGGCGGTAATTAATCGTTAGCAACGTCGTAGTTGTTCAGAATCGGGAATTGCACTGGTGTTTGGCAAGCACAAAGGAGTCGACTGACAGACGCAAGTACTAGCTTTACATTCATAGTTCTAAAGGACTTTTTTCAGCCACTACATGGTGCACTATCGAAAGCGCTATCTATTCCTTCTATACGTTCTAAATTTGGTGTATCATTTTCGCGGACTGCAGCTTGAAACAATTCTGTCTTACCCTACTTATCACGACCAGTTGTGGACCCAACGAAACTCATCTACGTGATGAGTAGATGTTTGCTTGGGTGATACGCAAACACATTTCGCGTTAAACAAATTATTTGATTTTATCCATTAATTTCACGTAGTTCTTCATTCGCAGTGATAGTGTAAAATGCTAAAAACGTATCTACCCAGGGGCATCAATCCTATTTTGAGTTGACTTGACTTGCCAACACTAGCTCATGTTCAATCATATTAGTGCCACATTGCACGGGGCCGTGTGTATCGCGGATGAAGCGGACCGGTTAGTCATCCACGCATTCAACTTGAACTAAACCTAGAGGGGCATGAAATAATCTGTTTGGGTCAAGGACCTATTTTCATAACCAGACCAATACAGTTACCGAAATTCAGATGACACATGAGATGACATAAAACTCACATGGTCAACTGTTACAGGTTGTTTGGCTATGTATCTGTTAACGTAACGAATGCGGTCGCACATTCAAAGGAGGTTTATGAGGTGCCTGCTCATTTAATGCTGTCAAGTCTGTTACTCATTCCAGCAGTATCACAGCCGTCAGCGATAGAAGCGTTACTACATCGAGGGTGGTTAGAGTATTCTGGTTCTGCGAACATTTCTGGATCGCAGATTACCTGACAAGAATCGAAACAATTCTTCATACTCCCTCTATCGTTGTACACTACAGGAAAAAACAGATTGAAAATCATTATCGTATAAAAATACTTTTTATGACAAGTCAATAAAAATAAAAGAACTTTAACCCTTGTAAATGTGACGTACAATCACAAAGTGATTTGTGAAATGAGGGTGAATTCATGCAACGGACTGTAGTTCGGAGGCTTACCCAAGCCATTCCGCAAAGTCTGATAATTATGATTGCAATTCCTCGGACAACAGTCGTTGCTCGTCCTCAGCCTCCGGTACCGGTGCTCGCATGAAGTAAGCGACACGTCTAGTCCTCTCACCGTAGTTTGAAGTATCTCGGAGACGGTCATCAGGATCTGCGTGTGGTGTAAAATTTTCCGATGTGCACCGAACGTGCGTTGAAGCACCCCCTGTTATGAATCGTAAAATGACCGTCGAAGTGATAAGGCAAGCACATTTTAAAAACATCAGTAGTCCTTGGACCAGAAAAAACCACTTGTAAGTGAATACTTGGGCCACCATCGCGGAAAGGAGTGGAGATAATGCCATTCCGAGCCCCATGCCTCCCAGTGAGAATGGATATGCCATATGACCAGGGAGCATCGTCAACTCCTCTCCAGCAGGGAAGAGGAAGGTAATAGAGGGTCCAAGACAAAATCCACATACGAACGCCAAAAATCGACTGACACCGGAATAGGAAGACATGAATTCCCAAACAACTAATCCGACAGCCATGATAAAACTCGTGCCGATCAGGATGTATCGCAATCGGTTCTTGAGAAGATCTCTCGTCAATGCGGTAGCTATGGCACCAATGAGATAGGTGCAGGCTTCGCCCGAAGCAAACAGAGTGGTCAATAACGCACTGCGTCTCAGTGACGTTTCACTACGGTGCATATAATCAGCCAGATTGAGCAACATTCCGTAAGTGACTACACTGGTCACTACGCGGTCTATCGCCCACAGGAACAGTAAACATCCCTTGCGATATGAGAACTGGTAACGTCCAGGTAACGCACACTTCTGGCTCCGCTCATTGGACTTGCTGGAGTTCCGCCGGTATACAGCCACACCAGCGAATAGGACAACAAAATAGATGACACCCAGAATAATAAAGGCATACCGCCACCCGAATGACTCAATCAGATAGGCGTAAAATTCCACAAATATGATTGCTGCCACTGACCCACCTGATACAAGGGTGGTAGCCAAAATATGGTAACGATGATTTTTATCAAAGTGCTCATTGACAACCAATCCAGCAGTGCTCAAAACTAAAGAGGATCCCAGTCCGTGCAACAACGTATGTGTGGCAAATAGCCAGTGCGGGGTTGGCACGTAGGCACTCGAGATGCATGCTATCAATATGAATACGGCACCGAACAACTGGGATGCCCAAAAGTGACGTCCCGAAGCTAGGATTGCTGATGTCGATAGACCACTGGTCAAGTATCCGACAGCTGCATAGGAATCACCGATCCAATTGAGCTCCGCTAAACTTGTGTGGTTAAATTCCACATGTAGCTGAGCCACAAAAATGCCAAATGCCCGGCGTTTTCCGCCCAGAAACACTACAGAGAGTGCAGCAACGGCTAAGATCAACCATGACAAGCGAGACCTCTTCATTAACGAACCGAATGGCTTGCCGTGTTGCTCGGGTCCCAACGAATCACATGACCTTGAAAAATTAGCCAATAGCCGCCTAGCACACGCCTATTGGTCGTTTTCGGTAGTTGAGTACAACTGCAATTCCACTGTTTTGCGGATGGCAAACGAACGGGCAGTACATTGGTGCAAACCTCGTCCACCGCACTGGATGTTTGTGGCTTACATGACTAACGGTCAGTCAATTGCATGTGTAATCCGGATCAGGCGGGGGTGTTGACTTGGTAATGCTGGGATGCAGCAACTCCACCACACCATGAACAACAAGTACTCGGTTGGATTAATAGATACCCAGTCTATGCCTTATGATAGAGCTACGGTTGCTACGGTGTGCTTAACCTATTAGTGGATGCAAATTTATGTGCTTAGCTGTGTTCTTCAAACTTACCCTAGGCTTGTTGTCTTTTTCTTAAACTCTCAGATCTCCCTTTAAGTGTCGTATAATTAAAAAAAGTATTAATATACCATCGGAGGACGGTTCAGAAGATATGGGCAGTTCAAATTGCACAAATTTGTCTCACAATGTTAGTAAAAGTCTACTAGTGATCAAACAACAACATTGCATCTAACGACCTTCTGTCAGACGAATTATGCCAACGAACACAAATCGCTACATCAAAAGTTCGGGCCCAATCATGCGACTCGTCAAGCGGTGATTGTGGACGATGTAACGTGCCAAAGAGAAGAAAGGACCACTAATAAATTGCAAGAGAGGTGTGGTAAATATAATGCCAGTAAAAATCATGAATTGAGAAACACTGCGCTTTGGTATACACGCATTAAAAAGAATCCTTAATTATCCGACGTATGTGGGGAGAAGGCGCATTCCGAACTACTGATTAGCAAGTGTCTACACTAGCACATGGTAAAGCAGAATCTTAATGAAGAGTGTCATGGTAAGTTTAAGAGGTAAAGACAAGAGTAGTCGTGGTGTTCAGCATTCCAAGCTACCACTGTTTGCACTGGCTAATGACAGGTACTGCGTCCACTATTGTTGATGTACCCACATGTCATTGTCTACGCTCACCGTTGTCCATTTTTGCTGAGGATTTTCGGTAGCGTGTACCACATAATACGACAAATGCTCATTTGAATACTCTCCTCAAAGGAGATTCTCTCTCTGCATGACTTATTGAGTTGTCCTTGATGCTATTATAATGATAAGTCTACTCTTCTTAACAATTTTTCCTTTGTGTATGCACGATGTGCCCTGACATGCAGTTGGCGTCCTTAAGGATGACTCACATTTTCACCTCTTTCACAGAGCATAATAAAGCCAATCTGTGTGTTAGACCATGAAATCTTCATACCAAGGAGTTCTTTCCTTTCTTTCTCACGGACACGTGTGCTCTATAGTCTCTATATGACGTAGCACCTGACCAACATTCATTCAGTTATCTAGTATCGAAACTGCACCTGACAATCATAGTTGAGTGGACATCACTCCTCTTTGGAGCTACCACAACGAAGGACAAGCAAAAACGTAATGGTGGTACGATTTCCCCTACAAACTATTGCTGAAACGACTCGGGTTCTTCAGCGCACGATTTCCTCGATTGTGTGGGATTTCTTTTCCCTAATGTTTGTAAACTCTGAACTACCCCTCTGGAAGCTGTCAGCTGTACTTACCTACTGGTAAAGTCCAAACTCCGAGTTGATCGTGTAGTTATTTCGCTGCACCGACTCACATGACTTACGGCCCATTGAGAAATGCGAGGGCCTGCTAGAGAATATACTAACGGTCAGATAACGAAAGAGGTTTCGCAATTTTCTCTTATTGCACGTGTTCAATAGGTAACACGGCTTATGCAAACGTTCTATTTGTCGTCCCTTATTGTGGATTTACGGTGAATTTATAGTTTTCATGCGTATAGCACGGTAATTCCACCGATGTAAAACATACGTTTTGCTGGCATTTTTCCAACATTGTGCAATTTCCCCCCCCCCCCCATGAAACCATTGTTCCATTGATGCAGCACCATTGTCCCTTTGAATTAGTTCACTTTTGGAGTTGGGGCCTGCATATTCAGAAAGAAACAGCCGGCCAGGAAGACGTGATGGACGGAGACATGGAGTAGTGACTGTAGGTGAGACCAGAGCACTCCCGATCACGGGAACAGACACGGATTCATTGCAGCACGGTACGTGATTAGTATCTTGTCATATTCCACATATGAACAAATATGTTTGCAACCGGGATACTCATGTATCTGAATCTCAGCTCATTGTGACTCTTGCGGGACTGCGACTTCAAGATCTCAATGCACCTCTACATGATGTGTTGTCATGATAACTGTACTGCCGATGTTCTCCACCCCTGAGTCGAGGATAGTTCCTCTTGAACAAGAAAGCTGGGTAAAGTGTAATACCAGAGTATATCAGTCAGACTAGCAGATATCTTATAGAAATCATGCTGGTTCAGTGCACATCAGCTGTGTACTACAACTGTAGCAAAATACAATCGCATATACGATACCTTTAAGTAGCGTGATTTCTAAGATAAACTTGTCCATACGGCATTCAAGCTCATCCATCACAATTCCCCTTTTTCGCTGGTTGTACGAATCGGTTTTCGCTGATAGGGATCCAAAGTACCGGATGTAGACATGAAACAATGTACTGCCACAAACGCATTTGAAATTACAGCCAGAAGCAAGCGTCACTGCCATGATTAATTCGGTTCGTTGTAGCTATATGATTTCAGCAACTCGCCAAAGTTCCGCTTGTAAATTTGCATGTAAAATCCTAACTTAATTGTACACGTGGATAGTAAGAATAGATAATGTGTGTGTGTGTGTGCGTGTGTAAACGATGAGCCAAAAAAAACTAGATCATGCCATTGGGTACCTTGAGATGGGATTATTTGTGTCTTGGAGTTAACTGCACTTAGGAGAAAACAGCTTTTGTGCGTGTCAGTGTTGTGGACTAGTAGTTACCTTTTTAATAATGATAATGGAAATTTGATCTGTTCTTCTCAAAGGTAAGAGAAGTTTGTCATTGTGTAACAGTCGTTCCGGAAACCGACACTGGATGAATCAGATTTAGGTTAAGCGGCGGTAAATTACTCAAGTTAACCATGGGCTCCGTCCAAGAATCAGTTCAGGGCAGTTTGTACAAGCGTTTAAGTGTAAAAGCCAGGAAGAAAGGGCAACTCACCTAATGTTATAGTTAGTACCATAAATAATACTACCAATGGTATCCATTCAAAAAGCTATATGGCTGAGGGCATCCGGTTTCGGATTTGCTGTCACTGTGGCCGGCCACAGGACGCCTGCGCCTATAGAGAGACCAGGGGTAGCTTGCGCTGCACCACCCACAGTTCCAATCATACGCCCATATCTAGTGTAAACTCGAAGGAATAAGACCGGGAGGCATGTGGATGGGAGCCACGTTTCATCAACAGAGCCGGCCCACACTCCATCACAGACAAACACAGGTACGCTGTATATGGGAATCAAGAGAACACAAAGTGTGAGCTAGACCGTAGTCCTCTCCACACTGAGTGCATGGAACCACTCTTCGAGCCTAACATGGCCACAAGGACCGTGCACCCCGTCCCCTCTGGCAACGACCAACTGTCTCCTGGAGCCAGTATGGACGAGGTAGTGGGTAATAGACAGGTACGCACCTTGTCAACAAGCACATCAAGCGCAGCCACACCGGGGATATCAAGCAACAGCCAATCACTTGCAATGACCAGGCCAGTGAAATAAAGTGAATAATGCATACAAATACAATAACATAACTCTTCACTAAATGAGCATATGAAATAAATTGGTTGCGAGCAGCTCTGTGCTAAGCTCAAGACGCGGCAAAGATATTTTTAGAAAATGCCACAAGCGCGAAAATCTTATGGAACTTAACTAAAGTATTTTAAGGAACGTGCGCAAGTTTATAGAAGATAGTTCAGGTAGACATTAATAGGAGATAAAAAGGGATTAGGACAATAATGCAAACCCACCACTTGAAATAAACTTACTCAGCATGCAAGCACGCGGGTAGTAAATCGAATGCAGCGTACCTACAAACGCTGCGCCGGTTCTGCCTACGTTCTCTGCAGGCCCCGTCGTCGCTTCCGTAGTGGTCCCGAGTGGCCTTGCTCATGGCTCACTAGGCCTGCCTGATTCAGACACACTCGACCGTATGTGCTGCAACGCCGTGCGCTCAGTGGTGTACAACCCATCGACGCCTGTCGCTTCGCAATTGCGGCTAAGAAAGCTATACATGTCCGGTTTCATGATGTAGCCTCAGCAGGAGCTCGGACCAACCATTTTTATACCAATTGTCTAGGATCTAATCAGTATGAGAGCTTTTGTCTTGGAGTCAGCCCATGACAACGTGGAGCGCTACTCTTACTGGTTGCGATGAGGTCCAGCAGAAACAACAGATTTGTGAACGTTACCAGACCTTACTTATATCATGCAGAGCTACAATGGGCTGGAAGTAGATTCGCAAGCGCAAGGAGCAAGAGAGCGCACAACACACAGACGATTTGAAGGTGAATGGGATGTATAGGCTGTACAACAATAAAACCATTGTCACAAAATAATGAAGCGGCAAATCCTCGTGTTCACTACAGAAGCCTCAAAAGAAGGCTGAGTAGGGGATGCTTTCCACGGAGATGGAACGTGGGGACATAATGTGCGGATGAGAGAGCCGAGTAACAAATGGATTGGGCACAAGCCTCATAACAAGGAAATGTGTGGGTTTCACTTGGTGCAGTATTTATTGTTATCTATTATTTGTTGGTTGACTGCGGGCTGGTTTGCATCATCGGGGCGGGCTCGTCGGATGGTAAAAATCGGTTACATCTGTAAAACGACCGACAGGATACTTCATTCACTGCTGGCCCGACAGTGCGCTTGAGAGGTATCCATCCCTCACCGCATTCCATTCCAAGGCTAAGACGATCTTACTCCCACGGAAAATCATATATGTCACCGCAGGAAAATGTAGCCAAGCTT